GACACACACACACACACAAACTCTCACTCACTTTCTGCTCCGTCAGTTTCAGCTCTCTAATGACAATATAGTTACTGAGTTTCTAATAGATACGGTAGATATAATGGTTGAAATGTAAACATATAAAAATTCCAAACCATTTTTAGTCATTACATGAGATGATATATTTTAGTGATACATTTGTTTGTATCTTTCAGCAAAAGCTTTGATGTTCCTTCATGCTGTAACTGTACTGACAATCAGAGGAAGGGGATTACAATTTTTTATTAAAATGAATAAAATTAGCATAATTTGAACTTTGTATTTCATTGAAAATCAGATAAAAGACTAAATGTTCAAAACGTAATGTTTTTTCCTGAAGCTCACGTTCTCTTTGTGACGTGTGGCTCACAGTGCCGAGCACATCACATGTACTGAAGTGTTTCCTGTTTTCTGTCATTCAAACGTGTCTGTAGTTCCTGTGGCCACGGTTCCGCCCACTACAGAGCGGTTCTCATCTGCTCTGTGTGTGTGTGTGTGTGTCAGTGTGTCGAGCCACTAAAGCAGATCTGGTGTTTCTGGTGGACGGGTCGTGGAGTATCGGAGATGACAACTTCCAGAAGATCATCCGCTTCCTGTACAGCACCGCCGGAGCTCTGGACCGCATCGGTCCGGACGGGACTCAGGTGAGTGAAACTCATGAGATTGTTTTTCTTCACACAGTGTGAATCAGGCCATGTTCTAAAAGATAAATCATGGCTTTTGTCAGACTGAAAGTGACATCTAGTGACACCAGAGACGTGTTTGCGCTGAAGTCTAAATATAGGTCCAAATGCACAACCTAATAAACAGAAGCAGTTATGTCTGAAAGAGAGAAAAGTTCAGTGTTTTTGGTGGAGATAAAGCATCATGTTAAATAAGCCTGTGTGTGTCTCTCAGGTGGCCATCGCTCAGTTCAGTGACGACGCTCGCACCGAGTTCAGGCTCAGCTCATACGACAAGAAAGAAAACCTGCTGGACGCCATTCAGAGGATCTCATATAAAGGAGGAAACACAAAGACAGGCAAAAACCAGCCCCCACACACACACACACACACTCTCAATCATCCACTGTAAACACACACACACACGTATGACTGCGTTTGACCTCTGACCTCTGCAGGCCGGGCAATGCAGCACGTGAAGGACTCTGTGTTCACGGCGGTGGGCGGAGCCAGAAGGGGCGTGCCTAAAGTCCTGGTGGTGCTGACAGACGGCCGTTCCCAAGACGACGTGCTCCAGGTTTCCCAGGAGATCCAGGCAGAAGGTGCGTCGCCACGGCAATGGTCACAACAATGAAACTCTGTTGCCTTGTTACGGTTCACAACTCTTTAAACGTTGATATTTCATAGAGCGTGTGTTTGTTGTAGGTTACATCGTTTTTGCCATTGGTTTTTCCGATGCTGATTACGGCGAGCTGGTGAGTATCGCCAGCAAACCCAGCGAGAGACACGTGTTCTTCGTGGACGATCTGGATGCTTTCAGAAAGATTGAAGAGAAACTGATCACCTTTGTTTGTGAAGCTGCATCAGCAAGTAAGTGTGCGTGAGTGTGTGTGTGTGTGTGTGTGTGTGCGTGAGTGTGTGTGTGTGAGTGTGTGTGTGTGTGTGTGTGTGCGTGAGTGTGTGTGTGTGAGTGTGTGTGTGTGTGTGTGTGTGCGTGAGTGTGTGTGTGTGAGTGTGTGTGTGTGTGTGTGTGTGCGTGAGTGTGTGTGTGTGAGTGTGTGTGTGTGTGTGTGTGTGCGTGAGTGTGTGTGTGTGAGTGTGTGTGTGTGTGTGTGTGTGCGTGAGTGTGTGTGTGTGAGTGTGTGTGTGTGTGTGTGTGTGCGTGAGTGTGTGTGTGTGAGTGTGTGTGTGTGTGTGTGTGTGCGTGAGTGTGTGTGTGTGAGTGTGTGTGTGTGTGTGTGTGTGCGTGAGTGTGTGTGTGTGAGTGTGTGTGTGTGTGTGTGTGTGCGTGAGTGTGTGTGTGTGAGTGTGTGTGTGTGTGTGTGTGTGCGTGAGTGTGTGTGTGTGAGTGTGTGTGTGTGTGTGTGTGTGCGTGAGTGTGTGTGTGTGAGTGTGTGTGTGTGTGTGTGTGTGCGTGAGTGTGTGTGTGTGAGTGTGTGTGTGTGTGTGTGTGTGCGTGAGTGTGTGTGTGTGAGTGTGTGTGTGTGTGTGTGTGTGCGTGAGTGTGTGTGTGTGAGTGTGTGTGTGTGTGTGTGTGTGCGTGAGTGTGTGTGTGTGAGTGTGTGTGTGTGTGTGTGTGTGCGTGAGTGTGTGTGTGTGAGTGTGTGTGTGTGTGTGTGTGTGCGTGAGTGTGTGTGTGTGAGTGTGTGTGTGTGTGTGTGTGTGCGTGAGTGTGTGTGTGTGAGTGTGTGTGTGTGTGTGTGTGTGCGTGAGTGTGTGTGTGTGTGTGTGTGTGTGTGTGTGCGTGTGAGTGTTTATGCGAGAGTATGTGTGCGTTTGTGTGAGTGTGCATGTTGAGTGTGTGTGTTTCAGTGTTACTTTAGTAACATTGATATACTGTTACAGGTTTTTTTTACAGAGTTTCCGCGGGGTCTTAAAAAGTCTTAAATTGTACAATAAAGTCTTAATTATGATTTCAAGAGGTCTTAAATTTGGGGACGGAAAGACCAGAATTGCGATATGGCTGATTGTGACGATTTAACTTCAAAAGGCTATGATTTAATTGAATAAACAGGAGCGCTGCAGGTTCAGAATCTGGTGCTGTTGCTCTGCGTTCTGCTGTTACCGTGGGAACAGTGATATTTCTACCAAACGCTCCACCTGCTGGCAGAGAATGAATGAGCATTTTCAATAAAACTGTTGTTTTGTTCAGAGTTCAGACAAATGCAAAAATAGACCCATGTTTTTACCCTGCAAACACGCAGAGCTTTAAATGTGAACTGGTGGATCGATAAGAAGACAATGCATTA